CAAGGCCGCTCAGTTTCCATTAGTTGTTGGAAGATTGACGACGCGACCTTAATCCCGAAAGGTAGACGCTAGAACTTGTACAAACCACGACAGGTGTTGATACAGAGCAACTGAGAGCATTCTTCCTCTACCGGTATTTGAAGATATGCGTTAGTGAGGTCGATTTTTGAAAAGCATTTTCCTCCATTTAGTTTCACGAAAATTTTTTCCGGGCATGGTAAAGGATAGTGATATTCTTTGAGTGCAAAATTAACCCCCGTTGAGAAATCGGCGCAGACCCGGATCTCCTTTGACTTCTTTTTCATATAAACGGTCGGTGAAGCCCACTAACTGTACTCAATTTTAGACAAGACCCTGGTTCTTTCTAGTCTGTAAGGTTCTTCATTTATTTGTGCTAAAGAGATGAAAGGTACATTTCTTTTTTTCTTAAACATTGGCTGGACGTTATCTTTTAACTCGAATTTTGCCGTCATTTTATTACACAGACCAAGGCCCACGGAAAAAACTTCCGGAAAAGTTTCATTTAAATCTTTTATTAAATTTTTTGCATCGATGGTCAGGTTTTCGAGTTTTTGGCAAAATGAATTAATTGTCATGTCCCACAAATTAAATTTCTCCATCCATTCGGTGCCAAATATATTTTCTGTATTCTTTAATACGTACGTTTTTAGTTTTAATGTCCTTCCATGAAAAGTTACATTTGTGATATGTTCTCCCTCAAACCTGGCCATTTTATTAGATCTTAGCATGGTTGGTTTCCCCAACTTTTTCCAAGTGTGTAGATTTATGATTGTCAAATCTGACCCAGAATGCAACTGCAATTTGATATTTTTATTTAAGAGTTGTACTTGCATGTATTTCCTAATGTTTAACCCATCTTGTTCCTGCGATTTTGTGTTTTTTACGCAGTTATTAACCTTTTTTCTCGCTCGGCAATGTGAGCTCTTGTGCCCGATAGATTACAAGTTAGGCACTTCTTCTTCCGGTAAGGGAAATCCTTATACCAATGTAGTGACCCACAACCGGAACATGGGTTAGGCGGCAAATTGTCTTGTATCTTTCTAAACTGGTTTGATTTAGAGGGAGAATTTTTTTTTTCTTTTGGCGTAACTTTCTTATGTGTTGCTATGACAGATTCCTCGATGTTTTTCAAATCTTGGCGTACGCTTACGAATGTCTGACAGTCTTCCGCTATTTGCTGGAGAGTAAGGTTTGGCTCGTTTTCCAATTGATTCAGAACTCTACGTCTAATTTCAACGTCTTTAGATGAAACGAGTCCCTGGACAAATATCAGACACTTGAAATTATTCGAACTCAATTCTGATACTTTAAAATCGTTGCAATGTTTGTTCACGACCGACACGAATGTGGTGTAATCTTCACTATCCTTTCTGGTTAAATTCATACACTTCCATCTCTTATGAAAAAGTGAAATTTTAGGACTAAAAAGTTCTGTAAGAAGTTTAACCGCTTCGGTAAATGTCAGTTCGCTTGTTTTACGGGATAAAATATAGTTGACAAATTTAGTATGCTCCACGGTGTCTAGTTTTCGAAGTATTAGGCGAACCTTCTTAGTGTCTGCCCAATTCGCGCAATCTGTGGCGTATAAATCCTTGTACCTTTTAAAATAGGAAACGAAAGTTATATTCTCGTCCGGAGAGTATACAAAATTGTCTATAGCCCCCTAGATCGTGTTTTGTGATAACGCATTTTCGTTATCCCTAATGTGCCCCCTGTTTGTCACTTCAAGCAAATTCTTTGCTCTTGTTGAGTTTGAGGTAGAATTTCTTCAAGTTTTTCTTGTGTGATTTCCGTTTATTTTTGTAATGCGAGATTTTCTTCTTCAATTCGCTTCTGAAGTTCAAGCCTTTCCTCTCAGTTTGCTTTTGAATCTTAAGCCGTTCTTTTTCAGTTTGTTTTTGAATTTCAAACCGTTCTTTTTGTATATCCAACTGAAGTTCTTCCTTTCTTTTTTGCTGTTGAGTTGGAATTTAAGAAAATCGAGCATGGCCATGTTTGACTGTGTCTTTCTTAGGATTAAACCGAAATAGAATTTAACTGAGGATAAAAAATAAACGAAATAACTTTAATTTCTTATTCACTCGGGGAATCACGAGTGCTTTTTTTTTCTCTGAGAGAAATGAATTCTCAGAAATTTCAATGTAAGTTAGTTCCACTTTTTCCGTTTTGTTTTCATTTCTGGATTGCCAAGTACTGTTGAGTAGAACCAATATTGACAATCTCCACGTAGTCCTTTTGGGGTCCTCAAGGGTCCTCGTCGCCAAGTTGTTGTGGCCTTGTTAGGGCCAGGAATAAAGACACAAAGCGAGGAATTGAGTTCAACAAATATATTAACAGAAACAGCAATACAAACATATACAAACGGAAGTGTTACAGCAAGAATGTTCGGCCTGACTGTCAGAGCTGACTGCTGAAAACTTCCCTCTCTAAAATGCAGTACCTGCTCCTATTTATAGCTGAGAGAGTCCATGCGTGCGTGGGAAAATTACCATAACATTTCGGATGTTTCTAGCTCTTTTTTTCCAATTTTTTCCTCGGATACCAATTTGTTTGATATGCTTGCAAATTGTACTATTTGAGTTTTTTTACCTAACGAGTATAATTATTAGTATAATATATATATATATATATATATATATATATATATATATGTGTGTGTGTGTGTGTGTGTGTGTGTGTGTGTGTGTGTGTGTGTGTGTGTGTGTGTGTGGAAAAATTAAGATATAAATAAAATATAAACGTTAAAAGAGAGTATGAATAAAGAAAAATGCAAAACATTTCTTTACCAACGAGTTTCGTTCCATCAATGATGTTATCAAGGTTAAGGGTAAGGATTTTATTTTGCAACATTAATATGTTAATAAATATATTTTTGCAAAATAAAATCTTTACATTTAGCTTGATAAATTTTCCTCAGGGGACGAATATCTAGGTCAACACCCATCGCCGACAGACTGTTTCATGCTTAAACGCAATCTTCAGGCCTTGATAACGTCCCCCATGGCCTGAAGATTGCGTTTAAGCATTAACCAGACTGTCGCCGCTGGATGTTGACCTCAATGTACACTTTTATTTTTACATACACTCTATCCTGATATTAAGTTTTTTAACCCATAAATATAGCATACCTTAAAACTATATTTTTATCATATATATATATATATATATATATATATATATATATATATATATATATCAGATTCTCCTGTTGTATTCCTTGTATGAGGGTCAACATTTCAGTTCCTAGAAAACCGACAGCCAGACACCACCACATATGATTTGATTATAGTGGTGAAGGTTTTGTGCAGAACCATCCACACTTTTTACAGGAGGCACGGTGGAGTGATCGATAGCGGCTTGTATTGAGGAATCGTCGAAACTATTACATTGACTTACATGCTAATACCCTTGGAAAATGTATGAATCCTCCTCTTCTCCCTCCAGCTATGGGTAAATAGCAGGACAGATTGGGTTCTATAGCCCTTGGTGGCAACTAGTCTAGGAGAAGGAGAACTCTGAATTCAGAAGCTGCAGAGGGTCGTTTGGGGACCTTGTGGCACGACGTCTCTGTATTCGGCCCTTCAAAAAGTGTGGATACATAATATAATATTTAGAATGGATTTTTTATTAATACGACATATTTGTATCACTTTATTTGTTATTTTTAGTGAATTTAGTGAGGCGCATATTTGAGGAACAATCTTCCTTTTATGCATGTTTCGTTAAGTGTGACGGACAAGGAAGATTTTTGGAAGATTTTGGGAGTAAATGCACAGTGTGTATATTGTCCCGAGAGGTTTCGGCAAATATTTTAATCTTTATCTGTCTTTAATTTTCGCGGTAATTGAAACGCAATTCCGACAAAGTATTCGGATTTCACTTTCGCACAAATGTCCTTGGGAAAAAGCATCAACCCATTCTTCCCTCTTCAGCTATAAAGTAAATTGCAAGGTAGCTTTGGGTGGTAACAAGTCTAGGAGAAGAATAACTCTGAATTAAAAACTGAAAAGAAAGAAACTATACCACTATTTTTGTTGTAATGGCAATTCACAGATCATAATGAAAAGGAAGCTGTAGAGGGACATGATCACCTACGTTCAAAATGTATCCGTGTAAATAATACATACATACATGCATATATATATATATATATATATATATATATATATATAAGATTTTTTTATCTAATTTATTTAATTTTGTATCTAATCCATTTTACAAATATATATCAATATAAATACACACACATATATAATAATAAAATTTACTTGCTTTTTGTATTTAATCCATTTTATATATATATATATATATATATATATATATATATATATATATATATATATATATCTGTATGTGTGTGTGTATAATTTATTAAACTATATTTTAAATATACCGTTTAATAAATACTACTCAAATATTGGTATCCACTAAAAGTAACATTTACGTAAAAATATAATATATATATATATATATATATATATATATATATATATATGAAGATATATAGTTTTAAGGTGTGCTATATTTATGGGATAAATTGCTCAATATCTGAGATAGAGCGTATATAAATATAAATATAAAAGTGAACATTGAAGTCAACACTCCAAAGCCGACAGGCTGTTTCATGCTGGACGCAATATTGCGTCCAGCATGAAACAGCCTGTCGCCTCTGAGTGTTGACTTCAATGTTCACTGTTATATTTATACATGTGTGTGTGTGTGTGTGTGTGTGTGTGTGTGTGTGTGTGTGTGTGTGTTGTCAAAAGTTAATGGACGACTCCTATGTCTAAAGAGTAGGTTATAAATAATAATATTTACATTTTACAGTATTCAGTTTTGAATCCGAGCCTGGCGATTGACACGTGCAAGAAACCTATACTAAAGAGTGAAGAACAAAATACATATTTATTATTTAGGGTATATATATGTGTGTGTGTGTTTTGAGGGTGGGTCGTTAAAAGAAAAATATGAAGGCCAACGAAAGATGGGAAAAGGAAGAAAAGATTTTAAAAAAGAAAGAAAGAAAGAAAGAAAGAAAGAAAGAAAGAAAGAAAGAAAGAAAGAAAGAAAGAAAATGACAAGTTGATGATAGAACGCAAACGCAAACGCAAAGAAGGAGGATGGACCACAACAGTGGAAGCCTCGTGACGTCAAAAGGCGGGTAGTTAGCTGCCGTAATTTAATGTATAGTTGGGGACAAAAGAGAAAAGAAACGATGCAACGAAAGAGAGAATGGGTGATGAAACAAAGAGAGGGGAATAAAGAGAATGGCCAGAAAGATGTGGAAAACAAGGCGGCGTGGGCGTCCATACGTGTACGAGAGGAAATAACAGCGGATGAGGGTGGGGTTACGAGTGTGTAAGAGGGGGAGGGTCAGACTATTTATTTGTTTGTGCGCGTGTGCGTGTATACGTGAGTAGAAGGCCTGAACGCGTGTGTGTCGTCGTGCGAGAGATGAAATTTATCAGCTACCGTGTCGTCATTTTGTAATGGTAGCCCTTCCAAACAAAATGTGTCGTTCCACGGAGAATGCTACACAGAGCTATTGCGATTTTCAGGTAAGCTAAGAAAATACAAACAGTCTCTCTCTCTCTCTCTCTCTCTCTCTCTCTATATATATATATATATATATATATATATATATATATATACGCGCATGCGTGTGTATTTATTTCTTAACTTTTTGTTCATCATCTCTTGTCGTCTGTTTAGTTGAAGTCTTATATTACAAATACACTATTTGGGGGCATTACGCTACAAAAAAAAAATAAATAAATAAACGTGTACAGTCGCAAGTAAACAATTTGGGGACCGAAAATGAAAAATAATAATGAATAAACCAGACTCTGCCGGAAATAAGAGTTAAAATATGAAAAATAAGATTATTATTTTAAAAAGTATGATTGCTATTTTAAGAAATAAAAAAAATATGATTGTTATTTTTTTTTTAAAAAAAAAATGGGAAAAGACGTTATCGTGTGACAGGTAACTGAAAAAGAATCATTATCGAAAATAAAACATCAAAGTTTTCGATTATAAAAGTCAATCACCGGGTTTTTAATTTTAAGTTTTATAATTTAATATAAATAAATATAATTTAAAATGAATTAAATTATGAATAAAGAAAAAGAAATCAAAGATTTTTAAAAATTCATTAAATAAAGTGAAACTTACTTTACGGCATTGTGATGACTTATTTTATTTTTCATCATGTTCAGCTGACTTCCAAGTTATCGATAAAAAATACACGCTCGACTTCACTCTTTATGCGGACGTAGGCGACTGCGGCTTTCCAAATTTTCCTGTCCTTTGTAGATCTTAATAATTTTTGTATTTCTGTCATTTTTCCTAAACCCTGTTCCGCCATCCATTTATGAGTATGTTATGCGTTGTTTTCCTCTGTCCCTATTGCCTTTAAGCCGTCCTTTGAGTGTCAAATTTTCCAAACCTTCTTACCTCATTATGTGCCCTAGAAATTTCAACTGTCTCTTCCTGATGTATAAGTTTCCTTTTTCTTTCCATTTTCTCTAAAACATCATCCGTTGCTTGATTTGCTCAATTGAAAACTTACAGATCTTATTCTTGAGTAATAATTTTTCTTTTGACTTAACGATTTTCTAATTTTTCTGTTCTTGACATATGAAAATGTCTCGTTAGGCATGATTTTTTTTTTTTTTTTTTTTTGCTGGTTCGTTTTTCCAAAATTATATCATTTTACCAACATTCTGTTTTTCTCTAATCGGACGTTCTTTACGCTCAGGTTCACACATAATTTCACATAACTTTATACAAATAAACATATACCACAATCAAGAGTACATTCTATCAACTGGAATGGTTAGACATCTATGCATCTCGGGTAACAAGGACCACTAATCTTTTTGCGTTTTTTTATGTTTGTAACGAAATAGCGTCAGAATGAATAAGTTACAGAATCGGGAATAAAACTCTGTGTATAAAAAACAAAAGTTTGTTTTTATACACAGATTTTTATTTCCGATTTCTTTTTGAATTTGTAGGTTTGATAAATTGGATCGTGATTACGATTTCAACGTAATAAATTATAACCATGGAATATTAGTGTTTGAACTTTTTCTTGTTCTCTCCTGGTCATTGAGCTCTACCTGGATTCTATCCTCTTGGAAATTTATTGATATATATATATATATATATATATATATATATATATATATATATATATATATATATATATATATGGGAATGAATGTAGATGTGGATGTGCGCATGCGTGCGTGTGTATGCGCGTTTGTTTTTGAATTTGTTTTTTACTGCAATTAACTTTTGCAGATTATTTAAAACCAGAAAAAATGTCTCTCCCATTTATTTCAATACGTTATACATTACAACACAGCACATCTTCGCTTACAGCACTTGGTATACCCAAGTGGTCACCCATCATAGTAAAGACTATGCCCGACGCTGCTTTTCTTTTTGTTTGTGTGTATATATATATATATATATATATATATATATATATATATATATATATATATATATATATATATATATATATATATATATATATATATATATATATATATATATATATATATATATATGAAAAGTGAATATAAATATAAATAAATATATATATATGTATAATTATTTATATATTATATATGGTACTTATTAGAAAGCGCTCAATATCAGAGATAGAGCTAACATATTTGGTTGGATAGGGTTTGTGACCCTAGGTTTCACGCTTTAGCGATCGTCAGACAAAACGATCGCTAAAGCGTGAAACCCAGGGTCACAAACTCACATCTATCCAAATATATATATATATATATATATATAATATATATATATATATATATATATATATATATATATATATATATATATATATATATATATATATAAGGATAATGGTCAGGGTTTGAATTGGAACAAAGAACAGTAGTATTAAAAAGTATGAAAAAAATGTGAAAAAATAAAAATAAAAATAAAAAAATAGCATGCAGAGTTTTTAACTTTAATTTTTTAATTTAAAGTATTTAAGCATATTAATCACGCTGTATAGCTAATTTACACGATGCTACCAGATTCTTCTTAAGCATTTAAAAATGACTTGCAATCAGGAACCCAAGAAACATATTTAGTGAAAAATATCTTATTTTCTGTTAAAAGAAAAACATTTTTTTCTCAATTTCCTCGAAATTTGGATTAGAATATACAGGGAGTTGGGAAATATCTTCGGTCCGGAGCATTTTTGAAAAATTTCACCAAATTGGTGAAATTTGATCGAGACGAGAAAATAGGTGAATGTACCAAATGAAGTGAAATGGCCATCTTGGTCGAGCGAAAATCAACAAGTTTATATTCAGGGGTCACATGGCCTAGAAGAATCGACCACGTGGAGTATCACTGCGTCATCGAGTTGAGAAATCCCATGCCAGCTGGGGACAACAGTGCTGATGTTTTATGAGAACTTGTCAATACGGCCCTGTCGCAAACTTAATTCAGCCTAAGTGACTTTCAATTCAATGTCGACACACACACACACACACATATAAATTTTACAAGCATGGGATTTTTTAAAATGAATGTTGAATTATAAATACAATTTAAATCCCTTATATATATATATATATATATATATAGCTAGATTGATATACAAAACATTGCTTTACTTTTGTATTGAGCCCTCTTTTAAAATATATATATATATATATATATATATATATATATATATATATATATATTTACTTTAAAAAATCTTTTAAAAATCAGATATGCAGATTTTTAAAGTTAAAAGGTCTGCATGTTATTTTTACTTTTATTTTGTTTTTTTTTTTTTCACACGTGTATTGAGCACTTTTTAATACCAGTTTCCTAGTCTGATTAAAACTTATATATATATATATATATATATATATATATATATATATATATATATATCAATAAATGTTCAGTGGACTTATCTTGTTGATCGATACTAGAGTTTCGCATCAAATCGGTCGTCTGGGCCAGATATTTGATAAATCGATTTATCAAATATCTATGATTTTATGATATCTTATGATTTTATCCCTCGCAACAAACACTAATCATAATTTTTAATTTTAAATTTATATATACATATATTTTATTACTTAAGCACTATTTTTAGTGGATACCCATATATGAGTAGACGCTCCGTTTATTTATTAGACGGTATTTTTTTTTTTTTTTTTTTGTCTACCGCCCTGAATATTGTAAGCATACGTATATAATTGTTGGCTGTTGTGTTTCTGCTGATAAGTATAATGCCTGGCTGATGTAATGGACAGAGGCTCGGTGGAAGAAATCTCAGAGCCGAATTTAAATTCCAGTGGAGTTAGTCACATTCACTTATGGGCAAATAGTCTTTCGAGAGATATGAACCCATATCCCCACCAGCTATTGGTTAAATAGTAGAAATTGTATCTGAAAAAATCATTGTTATTCTCAAAGAAATTCCTAATGCAATATTCACTCGCAAAAACAAAAAAGAAATATTCTTACAATCCAAAATATTTTTCGGCTTTAAATAACCAAGAAAAGTTAATAAGTCGTAAAAAACAAAAACATCGGATCAGTAAGTTGATCTTCTAATTAACTGCCACCTTTTGCAAAACTTATTATCTGCAAAATATAAAGAAAGTTTACAATTACTATCATTTGTTTTGAATCCAGACAAAAACAAAATGCAACAACAAACGCAACAAAAAATAAGGCAGAAAACACAATTCTTAAAATATTTTTAATCAAATGTGTTTTTTTCTTAAAGTTATTTACTAAGTAAAAAGCTTTTCTTTAGGATACATTGTTATTCCATTTAGGCAATATGGAAAAAATAACAACTCACAGTAACTGAATTATAGTGTAACCCTTTATAGTAAATGTCCAATGATTATGAATTTAAGTATAATGCAACACTTCATTTAGCATTTACATTCAATTGAGCACTTCACACACCCGAATTAATCTATTCGCTATATTTATAAAATCAGCTAAATGCCGCCCCTCTCGACGCCTCTTGGTTTGTTAATACTGTTTATTAATGCGAACAAGATGATCAAAATCAAATTCTGTTATTTCGTTAAGCGGGTAGCATTTCATTCTGTACTTCAATTTATTAAAGCTGCACTTCATATAGCACTCAAATTTAATGAGATAGCACTTCACTTAGCATTTCACTTTAATAAGGCAGCACTTCATTTAACACTTCAAATTAACGAGTTAGGATTTCATTTAGCACTTCATTTAATGAGGTGGCATTTCATTTAGCACTTCTGTTTAATGAGATGGCATTTCATTTTAATAAG